CACCAGCTGCAGGTTGGCGATGGTGTCGATCACCCCCATGGCTTTGCCAGCAAGCGCCATGACAATGGACAACAGAACAATATGATGACATAGCGGTATGATGGCAAACACGAGCGAGATGATGAAAGTGCAGGAGAAGAGGGCTGACAGGGACGACAGGAGTCTGGGGAAGACACAGAAAGAGAAGAAAATGATTCAACATATTACTTTTAAACTTGTTGTCAGTGATCAGTGCTTTAACTCAGGCCAGGGCAGATTGAGCAGGGGATTTCCAACTTGCTGTTGTTGCAGTAAAGTCACCTTGATGGTCTGCTGCTCCACTAACTTTTATTTACCCAGCAGGTTTATCACAGCCCTCCAACAGCAGTTCACCTCCACATTATCTTCACCTTGTTTTCTCCTTCTTGCCAACTTTCCACTCTCTTTTAACCTTGTTCAAGATAACTTAGTTAGTCAAGGGGACATTTCCTGTATCTGTGATATTGGGATACAAAAACATCATGTAAAGTAGATGTAATCCGTAGTGGCAGTAATCATCAGAGGGTAAAAATGAATGAATGAACTGTACTGAACTACTACTCCCTTAAAGAACTATTCCCACATACTGTAACTTGCATCTGTTAGGAAGTACTTTATATTTCAAATAATAAAAACAATAAAACTTGTTTGATGTTAGTCTACAGGACTGAATCCAGCAGTATAAAGCTTTCCAAAGTATGAGACATTGCATCAATACCACATGACTGGCACACCAATAAGCCAGCCTGGAAACGCCTGGGAAAATGACTAAATAACTGAGAGACAGTGTGTGTGTGTCTGTGTGCCACAAAATGTTCAGCTAGTACAATCTCCAAATTGTAGAAATGGTTGAGTGACATGTGCTTTTTAGTCATACTAGCAGCATGACCAGCCTCAGCTGTACTTGCTGTTATTGAATGTGGTATATATGGTATACGTAAACGTCATTAAGAGCATGTTAACATGCTACCATTAGCATTTAGCTCAAAGCACAGCCTCACAGTGTACAATCTTTTTTTCTTATTGAGGCCCAGTATAAGACGATAAAGGTTTCTAGAGTAGGTGGCAGATTCAATCATTAGTGTGTGTGTTTAGAACACATCCCTACACACTCAGGTTCACATTTGCATAAGTTAAGGTTCACTTCCTGCACATTTTTTTATATAAGGCACAGTCTTGAAATAACCATCTGTCATTTGAATGTTGCAGATAGGCCAGTCAAATTTAGAACACAGTCTAACTGTCAGAAATGAGAGTCTCAATGTGGTCATTAAAATACTTCGAATACTTACATTTAGTCAATCATATTCATTATTCAACCTCAAGGGCAGAGCCTTGGCCAGGGTTTTAGAACTGCTGAAGTCATATGGTGCATGGTGGCTCATCTTGTTGAGCATGCACCATGTGCTAGGCCTTATCACAGCAGCCCTGGTTCAATTCCCACCTGCAGCCCTTTGCTGCACGTCATCCCCTTACTCTGTCCCCTGTTTTCTATCACTCAGCTGCATTATCAAATAAAGGCAATACAAAGCCCAAGAAATAATTGTAAGAAATACTGAAGTCCTATATGTCCAAATTCCATATGAGAACCTCACCAACTTGCTTTTGACCAACCAACTCTGTACAATTTTGTGGGGTTTTTTTCACAAAGTTTTATGATTTCTGTATTTACTTGTGTTCTATTTGATCTCTCTGTGTTATGGTGTAAATGTTGTAACAAAACCTTTCATACACTGCCAGGTATGTAATTCTGGTAGACAATAAAAATTGTGCCTAGAATACACTATACAAATTTTACAGAATGCATATGAATATGAATATTTCTTTGACTAAGAGTTATATACAGAAATATGGCCATATTTAAGAATGTTAGAGTCAATGATACTGTTCTTTAAGCCTGGTTTTTCTTGGCTTTATCTGCTTATTATTTGGGTCCCACAGACAGATTTAAAAAAAGGAATTGCGAAACCAACCTATTTTCCCTTTAAATACTTTTTTTCTTTTTGTAAGACCTTAATAACACTCCATATGCAAAAAAGTATTGAAGTGGTACTCACTGTCTTTGCATCAAACTGGGCTTATAAGGTAGTAAAATATAAAAATGAACCTTAGGCTTTGCTATTCCACCAAACAAGGAAGGTTTTACAAGTTATATAGCCTGTGCAAGAACACATATACTGTACTATATTCCTTTTGTTTGCCAAAAAGTCATTCACAGATGCAAAAATCCACAGTACTAAGCAGCTACTTATGTTTGGGGTCAGTTAGAGCCCAGAGAAGGTCAACCTGTTCAGACCAAATTCGGGTCTCTGACATCCCAGACTTAAGTTATGCCTCAGTTTCTGTGAAGGACCTCCTAAACATGTCATCAGTATATAACTGTTATGTCTTCTAGTACTCTCACCCTCTCACTAACCATACTCACGTTTTCTTGAAGAGTCCTCCCATGCTGCTGCCCACCAACAGGAAGAACTGCTGGGAGAAGAAGACCCATGTGATCTGCTGCAGGGTGGACTGGGTCTGACACCTCAGGTCCAAGATGGTCGGTCCCAGGAAGGCGATGCACAAGCCGAAGCTAAAGAAGACGATCCAGTAGATGAGAGTTTGCGGCCAGTTGCGCTTAAACAGCGACCAGATCCGCTCGTCCAGCAGCTTCATGTCAGTCCTTCAAAGGAGTTCTGACCGACTCCTGAGCTCTCCAGAGGCCGAACTGCTGTCACTGAGCGTGGAGCACTGTCAGACTGAACTACACAAACTGCCAAGGGAGAAAGTAAACACAGCTTCACGGGACAACTCACAAGTTCAGTGCCAGTTATCCTATTGACGGACGTGGCACCGATTGGCTGATGTCCAAAGGTACCGCCCACTTTCTGACTGGCTTCAGATCAGTTTTTCTTTCACTAGCGCATGAAGACTTGGGTCATACTTTGGAATAAATAAATAGGGTAGTGGTGGAAGAAGTACTCAGAATTGCATTGTCTTAAGTAGAAGTAAATCCCGACAGAGAATGAGCCTCTGGAGTCTGTCTGTCCATAGGCGAATACAGTATTAATTAGATAGAGAAACATAACTTTACTGATATATCAGGCAGAGATTACTGATGTGGGGCTTCCATACAGTATATCATCTTTGTATATATTTAATATATTTAGAAAGAAATCATTGAAAGCGTGAATTTAACTTTGTCACAGACAAAGTTAAATTTTGTTGTGTATAACTGGTGAAACAATGTTTTCCTTCTTACACCTTTTTTCTCAAGGGACCCCTTCTCTGTAACTGACAACCCCTGAGTAAGTGACATATTTTTTGGGATGTTTCATATTATATTAAAAACTGTACAACTAACCCAAATAGTGAGCTCAGAACTGCAGGACCTTTCTGTAAAATAAGTGATGTGGATGAATTTTGAGCAGAAACAGATTTCCTGTTTAGAGAACGTTTTATACAATTCTCTGTCAGTATACTGAAATTAAAGTCCTGCATTTAAAATTACACAAATATTATTGGCAATGTACTTAAAGTATCAAAGTATTTGCCCCCTAGTTATAAGACTTAATATGGATACATCTATCTGGTTGAAATGTGCTAGTTTTGGCCTCAAACAATTATTTAAATGAAACCCTTTGAACTGCTAACAACTAATAGACCTCTAAAACAAGGGCCCCAAGTAGACACGTTTTTTTGTAAGTGGTTTTGTATTGTATTTTATAGGCTTATCATATGTTCCATCCAAAATGTTTATATAATCTACTATAACTAGTAACTGCAGGTGTCAGATGAATGTAGTGGAGTGAAAAGTACACTTGAGTTTAAATTAGAGGAAGTGAAATGAAATATACCGTATATGCTTACAAAGCTTAGAAAAATGTGCCCGCCTTTAGCTTTGTTCAATTACTACATGTCTGTGGGATTATGTACAGCTACTTGATCCCATAGACATCCAACAATTGAGAAGAAGAAGAAATAGCCTAATATTGCTGTTTTTGACATAATATAAAACTGCATGTAAATATAAAACAGGGCTCAAGGTAAGTAAGAAAAATAGTATAATGGCGGTCCTAAAGCATGGTTTCCTTTTGATATTGAATAAGAAAATATTTATTAAAAAGCATTAACTTTGTTTTCACCTTCAGTCGCCCCTAATGGAGACCTGCTTATTACTTTGAAAACCTGTTTGATTTCATGTGATAATGGATAGAATTTGTGATAATTATTCACCACAACAAAGTGTCTCCTGTTGTCATCGCTAAAATATCATGAAATATGAACAACCAGAACAACAAAACACATGGTCCCTCTACACATACACAGTGATCACCAGCACTGTATGCACTACATCTATCTGCCTGAATGATCACCTCCCTGTACCATCATGAAGTGCTTTGAGCAGTTAGTCAAAACCTTCATCATCTCTCCCCCCCTTGACTCACTACACTCTCTTCAATTTACGAACAAACCAAACAGATCAATGGACGACACCATGTCTCTCCCACCTGGGCCAGAGGAACGAGAACGCTGTTGAATACCATATAGCAGTCAATACCTCTGTGTCCTCCAAGCTCGTCATCAAGCTCAGAAACCTGGGGCTTGACATCTTGATTGGATTATGAACTTCTTGACGGGCAGACCCCGGGCATGCTCAGTCCTCTCCTGTACTTCCTTGTTCACGCAGGAATACATGACCACCCACTGCTCCAGCGCCTTCATCAAGTTTGCTGACAACACGACCGTCATCAGCCTGGTGGCAGACGGCCTGTACAGATCCCTGAAATCTTGGTGCCAGGACAACAACCTCCATCTCAACATCAGAAAAACAAAGGAGCTGACAGTGGACAGCAAGAAGCGAGAGAGAAGGACACACCTCCGTCACTGACAATGGGATTGCGGTGGAGAGAGTCAGTGACTTCAGGATGTGACCTAAACCTGAACTCACCACAACGACACCTTCACAAAGACAGACGACAGCTCTTATTCCTCCGCAGGCTGGAGACTCTGCAACTTCTACAGGTTCACCATAGACCCTTTTCACAGCAGCTATTTTGACATGTAATAGGGTAATCACAGGTATTAGCTATGTTCCAGTTCTGTTTGACCTGAATGGAATAGGACCTTAATTAGTATCATTTGTAACACCTGTGTTTAACCCTACTATTTCAGCTGTAAAGCTCTACAGAGGGTGGTGAAAACTGCACAGACCATCACCAGGATGAAGCTGCCATCCATGGAGGACCTCTACACCCAGCAGGAAGAAAGCCAACAGGATCACCAACGATCCCAATACCCCAGCCACAAACTGTTCTACCAGCTGCTATCAGGCAGACATTAACACAGTATCCGGTCCCCGCATCAGGTAGGTTCAAACAGCTTCATCCTGCAGCCCATAGACTTTTGAAATCTCAAGCTCATTACTTTACTCACACTGCATTGGTACTCTTATTTAATGTTACAATTTTTTTTTTGTTTTTCATGGAAATGTGACTGATGATGACAGGTCATTACCATAAGCCTTGAACTGAGTAATAATTTAAAAGTTATGGGAAATGAACAAGACTATTTTTCCTTATTTATGCTTTTGAATCTGAATTTTGTATGACTGAATGAATTTTGAAGTACTTCAAAATTCATTCAGTACTTCAAAATTCATTCAGTCATACTTAAATTCAAAATCCAGCACTGTCACTGCCTACTGAAGATTAAGAAACCTTGGTGCTGCTATATATATTGTATTGCTGCCACTATCACCAGCTGTGCATCAATTTAAAAAACTAACTTGACATCCTCTTACATTCAGTAGACCAATAGCACCATCTTCTGTTCACCTATATTACTGTACCTCTTACTTTGTACTGTACCCTCCAAAAACTAAACCACATCAGCTCACAATGGTATAAGAAGCCAAAAAGACACAGAACAAGTGAGTGTTCCAGAATTTCCATAGTTTATTTATTCATTAATTAATCAATTATTCAATCAATTTTACGCCTGTTGGCAGTCACAGTACATTCATTTTCTCATTTTATAACAGTGTAGACAAATCACACAAAATATCACATCTTATACAAAATCTAAACTTATCCTTTATAAAACATTTAGACATCATCTGCAGGTTTTTTTCTTTATTTTATTTTAAATACAGTGCTCTATTTTTTTAACGGCATAAAACTCACTGAGAAAGATGAAAACATCTGTTAAAATACATATATATTATTTCTTTTCATTACAGTATTTAAAATAGCTTCATTTACCACAACTAAACACACAGTAATACTTCTGCCACTGAGGGGAGAAAAGGGGTGGGGTTGGGGGTTGGAAGTGTAACATCCACAGCTATACATCCCTCTGAAGTCCCAGCAGGTTTGCCCTGAATTTCTCTCCTCATTGCCTTCACCTTTGCTTGCACCCACTGGCAGGTGAACAGAGGGGGGTTGGATGGTCGCAACATAATTCTTACATCAGCTTCATTCACTTTTAGAGGTAGAAACACTTTCAGCGGCCATCAAACTGTCACTGGCATCTGTCTCTTTACTCATACAGAAACATAAACCCCTCTGACCTACATAGATATAACTCTTCATATCAGTCTGGCACTGGAGCGCTTTAGGGGTTCAGTGCTTGGCTTACGGCCACTTGTCAAACCAACAACTCTCTAGTTACTGGTTACTCTACCTCTGTATTTCCTTAACAGTCTCAAGGTGTCATTCATTAGCTCTTACTTGATGGTCTGCTCAATTCTGTGGATCTGATGATCCAGAAGTATAAAATCAAAGGCAGTTGCTATAGACTTGCAGCGATTTCTTCAAGACATTTCACCTCCAACTGAGGAAGAGCGCCAGGCATTTAACCTCTGTAAGGTCGTTCACACATTGAGAACCGTTAAGTTCACATGTGCCGCATTTGGCAACATGCCTACCAAATGCATGAGATCTCATCTGTGGTTTCATGCACACTGTCCATAACAATTACAGTGTACATACTTTGTACTACTGTTGTTCTCGAACTTTACAGCATTACACAGGAAGGCTGGTAGGCTGGAAGGTAGATAAAGAAAGCAGAAGCAGAACTTTGGCAGTTCTTAGTTAAAACTTTTATAGTAGCTGTATGTCACAAATGTACAGCACGTGTGTGTTGATAACCAGTGTGCTTTGGAAGAAGGCAGGAATTTAAGTGATTGGGTCGGGGGTACCACAAACCAAAGAGCCAGTCATCAGCAAAGAGCCATGTGCAGCCATCATGAATTTTCACATTTGTTTGCATCCAGAGCAAGAGGCATGCTCTAAGGCACGCCTTAGAGTCACGAGTGATCGCCGGACTGGCCACCACTTTGTGATGTCAGGTTGAGTTTCTACAAAGTTGATTATGTCTTAACTTTTTTGGTGCAGGTCGCTGCAGCCCCCACCACCACAGCCCAAACCGACTACCCTCACTCAAATGAATGGGAGTTTTTGCTGCAGCGCCTCATTTGGTCTGAATTAGCCCTTAGAGCCACAAGTAAAAGTGTGAACGGGTCTTAAAATGCAGGATGGCATTATAAATGGCTCATGCATGGTGTTCTTGACTCCTCTGTTGAGCAATGGTTGCTCCACATAGATGGCATCCTTCACTACTCTTTCAAACCATCTGTCCACATATGTGCATATAATAGTCCTCAAGGCAGTGACCCCCGTCCTTTAGATGTAGGTAGACTGCTAAGTCTTTACCTGATTGAACTGCACATGTGATCTTAGCAACTTTCAACTTGTGAATGCCTCTACTCTATGCCTTTACTCAGGAGTACTTTTATACACTGTCTATTGTGGTACTATAGCCAAAAGCTGCTCCCTGTTAACAGGTGCAATAGAGCTGTGCAAACATAAGGGGTAGTGGTGAGTCCTACTGAAAGTAATTTGCTACTAGAAAATACTTGTATGACATACTTTCTCAGTTTACTGGTCTAGGGTTAAGGGGTTTTGGTTCGATATGAGGGTCATATTTTGGAGCTATATAAGGTAAGACACAAAGGGAAGGGAGCAGGCTTCAGAGGACACTTCTGGTTTGTGCAAATAGGAGACTAAGAAATACATATACTCCATAGTGAGTTATTTACACACACAAAGCAAATGCCTCCTAACACATTGGCTACACAAGATCAAATATAGATTCTTCACAAGCCAAAATATCATGCACAGTTTACTAAGGCAACTTCAAAAACTGGAGTGAAAGTCAGCTGTTAACACCGTATGGAACAAAACCCCACGCTGAGTTGAAACACTGGGGCACTGTAGCATAGCAAGTCTGTCGACATGAATTTTATATGAACGATGGAGTCAGATTTTATGATAGGCTCAATGTTTGTTTCATGTGAGTAGAGGTACAGTAAATGAACAGTGTGTTGCTACTATTTCCACATCCAGACTGCTTGTACAACTTCAAGACTGTCAGGTGACTTAACACACCCGTAGCTGCCATATTGGTGGCTCGTTTGATCACAGATAAATCTGATACTGTTTAAATTACAGCGGCTTCTTAAACCAGCTGCCATATCCAGGTAGCTAACCATCAGCTACATATATTATGCAGAATAAGGTTGAACCTCATGAGCCTCATGATAATATTTTGCTGTTTAATTAGCATGTTAGCTCACTACAGCTAACAAAGACTTAAATAATGGAAATGCTCTAAATATTTATAAAGATACACACCCTGAGATTGTTATTTAGTGCCTAGTAGCATCGAAGGCCCTAGCCATCATTACCATTTTCTTTCTGTGGATTGGGAGGTTTAGGAACTTGGGGGGACTTCGGGCATTTGAAAAACATTTATAAGATGTGTGGCAAAATCATAATAAGTAATAGATGAGCATTTAGACTTTCATTCTTGGAAATCAAATTACATAAAGCACAACTGCACAGTTGACTGAATGATGGCATTTATGACCACGGTATTTCTTAAATCCTAGCTACAGCCCTGAAAGCAGCACATATTCTGTAATGTGACTGTTGAGCTGGGAAGAAACATTTTACAATTTGGGGGTGCAATAACAAAATCAGTGAGTGTATCTTTGAGCTACACCTTAGGGTAGAGATAAGCCTAGTAAGAAAAACATTTAGCGTAATTGGAAACAAATTGATCTCATTGGACTTTACTTCAAACTTAACCAACCTCCATTCACACCACAACCCTTTACTTCTGTACACCTGCAACTGTATGATGGTTCATGGTGTGGTAGCTACCTTAGATGGCCAGAGCCCTGGGTGTGCTCTGAATGGCAATTATACAAGCTTGTGTATACTATGTGTACACTATGACAGAGCAGACTAGCTTTATTTGGGGGACAGTTTTTCTTAGGTTGAAATGCCTGTGTGTGTCAGCTGGATACTTAGAAATCTCTGGTATGTGCAACTAAGTAATGGCAGCATGTCGCCGATTGTGCAAATGTGTGCAAACATGTACTGTATGTGTGTGTGTGGGTGTGTGGAGGGCGAGTGTATCTCAGCTCAGTCATTTCAAGTGCAGTAGTACAAGTGTATTTCCAGAAACCCTGTGTGTCTTCATGGTCAGCTGCCATGAAAATGAGTGAATGCACATGAGTGTGTGTACATGTAAGTTAGCATGCTTGTGAATGTGCTGAGCTGTGTTGGCCTTTGTGCTGTGGTCTCAAAAGGCAGCTCCACTTTTCTGTGTGTCTTCGCTCCCCCTCCTGTGACCTCTAGAAGATGCTTTGTCTTCGGTTCTTTCCTCGACCTGAAGAGAGAAAATTTGAGATGGAGCACTTATCAATCAATCAAAGATCAAGAATATTTATTTATCATTATACAAAACAAGGTTGTACAACAAAATCAAAGTTTATAGATACAGCTAGGAAATAATTCTACAGTGTTTCAGCAATAAAACTGAAAAAAATTCAGATACCCTTTATGGATGCTACATACTAGCATAAGTTGAGTATTATGAAGTTAGGTCTTGAAGCTTTACAGGAGCCTAACCAGGGGAAATAAAGTCATAGTCAGACTTATTAAGTATATGAAGAGCTTATTAGAGCAAAACAGTGAATTCATAGACAACCGCTTGTTTATTTTCATTTTCTTTTAAATTCCTGTGAGACTATTCTTTGTGGTATTTTTTATTTGTGTCAGAGTAAACAAAATCAGCATGCTGGCTTTTTGCAGAGCGTAGCTAATTAGCAAGGTACATCTGCAGACACATCACCATTTCACATGTTGTGGTCAGGAACAAAACAGAGCTAGATTTAATTCCATTTAATTCCAGACAGTTCAGGAAACTTACAGTGCTACAGTATCCATTCCATTGTTATTACTCATATCTTTGAAACTTTTAACTTTCTTATTATGTGTGATCTAAAACTATCAACTATGAGAATATCAGGAAAAACTAATGTTAATGCACAGTATATGTGCTGTATGTGCATGTTGTGCACCACATTATGGCTGGCCACTATGTGAAGAAATTAGTCTCATAAAGGTGACTTGAACAAAGTCTGTAGTATAGTCATATATAGTGTGAGATTGTGTGGAAATAATCTTACCTAAAGGCTGAAACACTGAGCTGCGGTGGCCTGGGTCCTTCTGGAGCTGCACCTCTCTGAGGGAAAACACTGAAGCAGCTAAAACAAAGAGGGGAGAAAGAACAACTTATAAAAAAAGACACCACTACTCTACTAACATTGTATACACTTCTTTTGTGTTGCCTCTAATTTTAAGCATGTACTGAAGTTGTACTGATATGACACACCTTATCATACAAACCAGAGGCTCTAGCTTGAGCAACTTCTAGGACAAATGCACAAATGTGATAACCATTGTGCAGAGTTAAAAACCAAAATCTGTGTTTCTGCGGCCTTGACCTGGAGTGCATTTACATTTTAGGTTTAAGATCAATGTTGCTTTTCTTTTTTATTTTTTTTTATTTATATTTTTTTGGAAAAGGCAGTATCATGACATACATTCTTTCAACATTTCAGCAAATGAAAAAGTAAATACATAAAAGATACTTTTCTGTTTTTTAAAAAAAAGTGTATATATATATATATATATACACATACACACAGAAAAGAGTATTCTAAGAAAAGAGAAATTAAATTGTATTCTTTGTGAGCCATTTAGTCCACATGAAGATCTTACAGAGATCCATCTTCACTTCAATGTTGCTTTTCAAACAAGAAAAGCAACCAAATGTGTCTCACAGTGGCACACATTCAGTGTGAGTAGCTAACGAAAAATGTTTGGCTACATATTGGTCTGTCATTACATCAGAGTATTTAAAACCTAACTGCAGGTTGTGGGATTAGCTTTTTGGTTGTGATGATGTTTTATATGCATTTTTGAATGAGATCCTGTGTATATATTAGTATGTCCTAACCTGGTATGTGCCTTAATGTTATTTGTGTATGTCTAAGAGAGAAAGAGAGTATATGTATTGAACCTTCACTTTATGATAATCTGAAAGGTTTATCATTTTTACTCCCTATTTATTTATGTAGTTATTAGCTCCTCTTTGTGTTATGTGCTGGTTTCAGGCCACCATCTATTCACTCTAATGTTAAGTTATTCATTTAAAATCTAGCCTAGATTACATCAGTCTGTCAGAAAATATAGCAGGGTACCTCTGCATAATTTTCTATTTATTCAGTAGTTTAACCTTACACTGATTCACCCATTTACTCATCTTGCAAAAAAAAAAGGTGTTTGATATATGTAGGGTATTACAGTTGGCAACTCTTTACTTAAACACCTCAGTAAAATATCTAAACCAAAACTGCAGGTTGTGTTGCAACCATTTATGAAAGTATTGCAGTATTTATGAAGAGTATAACAAACTGAGCAAATTTTCCAGAAAAATACTGTATTAAATAACTGCTAATGCAAACCCAACATATCCTAATGGTGCAGCTTCACATTAAAGGCATTTAACTTGCACAAAGTAGTAGTCACAGAAAACTCAGTGTGCTTGTCAGTGAGACTGACACAGCAAAACAATCAGTTATTGCAGGAATTAATAGAACAAGGAGCAGCCAACATTAATTTTATAAGAATGTATTGAATATATTAAACAATATAGGCTAATTAGGCAAAAAAAAAAAATATTCTGGCCATTGGACAAATGCAGTTGAAGACCCATGGTATATACATTTGTGCATCTTTGTTACAAGTTTGCGATTGTCACTGTCACACACATCAGAAGTACAACTAAATCTGGAAACAGACTATTTGCTAACAATGGACACAGTTGACAAAAATCTAAACAAGGCAAATAAGTAGCCACATGCAAGCTTTAACTAAGGTTTAGATATTGAACAATATTGAGTAAGAGCAATGGTGCGCTCAGCAGTTCAATTCAGTACAACCCAGAGCTTTTTAAAACTAACAGTGTGTTGTGTCAGACGTGTTTTGTAAAATTTTTGGTCAAATTGTGAGAATTAGTCAAAAGTAACACATGATGCAACCCATGTTTTTCAGAAAGGCCACAGTTGAGATGGCAAAAGCAGCATTTATAGTGGAAGTGCAGTCTGCTGTTCACAGCCAGACTTGCCAAGAACTATGGACCTCAAATATTCTCAAGAGGCTTTAAAGGTGTGTTCAGAGTGTATATGTGTGTCTTACTATCTGCCAATTTGTGTATGTTATCCCCCAGACTCAGGAAGTAGGGGTGTCGTAGGGCAGCTTCAGCGGAGATTCTGCTCCTGGTGTCGTACTGCAAACAGAATGAAAAAGCAGCTTATTAGGTCGTCTCTGTTCTGTCTCATATCCAGCTGAGTGAAGGTCATTGTGCTTTTGTCTCATACCTGCAGCAGAGCAGACAGCAGGTCGATCCCCTCTGTGTCCAACCTGATGGAGACACATAAACATATCAGCTTGTATTATGATATGCTGCTACTGATGATGAAGGTAAATGAAGACTGGGTGAATTTCCTTCATGTCTGCTTTTTTTCTCAAATGACCCCCAAAATGTTCTGGAATTCTTTTTATTAATAGCAATTTTTAGTTTTATGATTAAGCTAAATGTAAAAGAGCAGAGAAAGGCCAATATTTCACAGCAAAATACAACAAAACACAAAATAAAATTATCCACAAGGGTGTAAATTTGGCTTTAGCTCACTTAAACTTAATAGCAGCATTGGAACATGTAACATATGCAACAAATATGCAAAATACTACCAAATTATAACACACATCACACTGATCAGAATATTAAACAAAGCATTAAACACTAAATTATAAAATAAAAAAACGTGTGGAAAAAGATTTGTGGCATAGAAGTATAAAATACTGATTGCACTTAAAAGTAAAAGTACTTTTGGATGTTCAAGGAAATGTCTCCCAGACTCGTGTCTGTCAAAGCAATCATTTGTTACAGTGTAACTATTCTAGCAAGCTTATTCCTAGGTCTGCAGTAATGTTGCCAAACAATTATGTAAAGTGTAATGTTAAAACAGTCCCAATTACAGATTTGTAAACTATTTCTAAGACTGACTAACTTGAAAGCTGATGAGTACCCTCAGAAGATAAAGTCAAGTATTTGGTATTTTCAGAGAGGCTGAGTTAGCAGCCGAGAGCTGTACCAGGACACCTGAAACTTTCAACACTTTCAACACTTTGGCTGTCAAGTACAACAGGCCCTGTTAAGAAATGCTGCTTGGCAAAATAATAATTTCTTTAGTCCTATTAACATTGATCTCCAAACTGCTACTTTGCACCAAGTCTGAGCTTGTGTTGAGCTTGGTCAAATGCTTCACTGCTCTGCGGACTGTTTTCTAAAGAGGGCCAACTAAGGTCATGCCATCAGTATACTTAAACAAAAACCCTGCTCTCATTAGTGTAGAAGGACAGTGGAGGAAAAAGAACACCTCTCAGTTACTTTAAAATATCTGTAGATTCTAGATTATAGAGGAATGATTTTTGGCCAAGTTAACACCATGGCTCTATAGTGATACCAATGTCTATCAATCCATTATTTTGGTTCAGACTTGATTATCTTGACAACTACTAGATATATCCATACATTTGAAGAATCCTAATAACTTTGGTGACTTTTTATCTAGTGCCACCAACAGGCCAAAGCTTTAACTTATCCAGTGAATTATCTCAATAATTATACAGGCAGTCATGGTTCCCAGATGATGAATCCTACTGACTTTGGTGAACTCCTGATTTTACTCTAGTGCCACCATGAGGTTCACATTTGTTTAGAGTGAAATGTCCTGACAGCTATTGGATGGACTGACTGGACTTCAGCTATACTTGGTATTTAGTGAAATTAGTCCCTGTTTACATATGGCATTAACATGCGTTTAGGGTAATCTGATCACAAGGTGAATGCACCCAAGATGCATTGAGGACACATTGAGATCCTATCGCTCAGACCACATTTGGAGGTGGGCTGCATATGGCGACGTGTGTATGCGAACGTGTCTTGGGCCACACTGAAGAACCGCCTACTCAACTGATTTCCCTTACAAAAGCGGAAGTGTGCACTCCTTTCACACCGGCGGTATCATATTACTCTAAAGTGCAACAAGAAGAAACCACAACAACAGGAAAACAAAATGGATACTCATGAATTGAGTACACAGGAAACACAGATTTCTGTTCGGGTCGAAGAGTCAGTACAACAGATAACTGGATGATTCATATCGCAACCGGAAACTGGAAATAAAACTTGCAGGGAAGTGAGATCCGATTACAAGTGCTCACTCAAGTTGTGGAGACACATTCTATTGCCAGGTGTAAACTGACGTACTAAGACTTGTCCACTTGTGATTGGACCACCCAAAATGCATGTTGATGTCAGGTGTAAACATGGTGTGGGTTAGTGTTACCTGGGCACATGGTTGATGAGAGCTTGAGGTCTGTATTGAGGAAAGAGGTAAGACTTAAACTCCTCATTACTACTGGTACCAGGCCAAGTCTCTTCTGTTGGAGTACCTGGAAGACAAAGAACAATTAAATATATCGTTGTCTGCTGTCACAGGACACTGTCACTTATTTTACTGTAGGATATTATCATAATGTGCAGCTATCTTACCCATGAGCCTAAAAATTAGGTGTAGCTCCTCCTTCACTGTGGCACCAGGAAACATGGGACGACCTGTTGCCATCTCATACAGGATACAGCCCACGCCCCTGGAGGAGGAGGGAGGAGATGAAGATACAGTGGGTGGAGGAAGAGCAAACAACAAAGAGTCATCAAACATTATAGAAGTCTAGGTGAAGCTGTGTTCAACAAACACACACACACACACACACACACACACACACACACACACACACACACACACACACACACACACACACACACACACTTCAAAGAGTGCTGATCATAAGTGCAAACATGTATGGTGTAAGTGGGCACAGTGCAGCCTTTTGTTCCATCCAGGATGGTGTGTTGGAAAGGCGCCCTGTGGCGTGATGAGAGGATATGTAGCTAGGTGAGCTCATAAAAGGCTGGCGTGTTGCTAGAGAGCCACATTTAATCCTCTTTGGTTTTGTGAGGGTTTTCTCACCATGGCAAACTGCTAATGAGCAAAAACACAAAAGGAGAGTGAATGCAGATGAATTACGCTTCATTGTATGGCTAGTGACTCATATCTCTGCTAATAACCTGGGAGATTTTAATAGATATGCATGATTCATGGAAATCCTGGACGATCCTCAAGCTGTTAGACATTCATCTAATTTACCAAGTAAAAAAAGCACAGCTCCTTACCAGGGCTAACATTAGTGTTTTGGGTGCCCTGTGTGCATTGGGGAGTTCAGCTTAAAACAAAAAAACAGGTGTACTGGCCCACTGGTGGGCCTCAGAGTGGCATCTAGTGGGCCGCAGAGTCAGCAGTTCTGCCAAATGGTTAAATTTAATTGATTTAAGGTCCAGTGTGTAACATTTAGGAGGATCTATTGGCAGAAATGAAAGCACTGTATCTACCATCTACTATATAGTACTATTGATTGACAGATGAATGTCATATTATTATTGGTTGAAATTGGTTATTTCATGTTTACTTGAGCACACGTCACATTTTGTTTGACAGCGTTAAAATTACATTTTTAATTTTACCTGGACTTACATAATAAGTATAATAAGAAAATGATAATTTTTTTAGTAATTTACAAAGCTTATCTAAATGTGCTATAAATACCGAACCAATCATGACACATCATTAGGTTTTAAACACAAAGCACTCGGGATGTGTTGGGAAGCCAAAAAATATATATTTCCAAAAGAAAAGGGACTGGCTACAGGCACAGCAGAAAGTCATCACAACATTAACAATTGGGCTGTACAATCAAAATATTATCGAAATCGCATTAAGGCCAAGTGCAATATGCCGCTGTAGTTTTTTTTTATAAATCATGAAATGTGTGAAAAAGCAGCATAATAATTAAGTACTGTAGTGCTGCAGAGATGCCCTGGTCTACAAATCTTGTTCTCCAGATTTAAGAAAACATGTTGGTATAGACCCCCCCAAACTTTTACATCATCATGATTTTAATAGTTATTTCAGTAAAATTTAATTTGTGATGCAAAAATGATCACTCCAACACTAATCAAAAATAAATCATATCGCATTATCTGTCAAAATAATCGCAATATAATGTTTTTACCATGTCATGCAGCCCTGATTAACAACTCAGTCAAAAGCCTCTTTGATAGCTAGCTGTATGGTATATATTAATCTTGGTCATGACACTCTCCTTTTGTTTGTTTATTTGGGAAGATGGTCCTCAGTTTTTTTCCCCCCCAACAATCAGATGTGGGCCTTAAGTTACAAAAGGTTGAAGCCCCTGGTCTATGTGGTCCTTTCAACCCATTTGTTCTTAGTTTCCCTGGGTCAGAAGAGATGATTAATACTACCAGCAGATTCCCAAAAGTAAAAAAAAAAGGTCCACACACATGGGCCTTTAGATCTTACTAAAACTTTCAAACTAATATGCTTGCTCAAAAACATCAATATAACACAGTACATCCAACAATACAAAAGCAATACACATGTGGCAACACCCAGACCCAGGGCTGTCATACTATCAGAGCTGCCAACTCTCACGCTTTCGGCGTGTTTTCACACGCACTCACGCCACACATCCAATTTCTCACGCAAAATAAATCCGATCTTGGGCCGAGACTCGTTCGTTCCTTTTTAAACTCCCCGACGGTAGATGGCTCTGATGAGCGGCACTGAACCCTATGCGCTGCACCCATATATGCTGCACCCCGTTCTATATACACAGTCTATGGCACCCCGAAGTTAGAGACAGAAGAAGAGATACCGAGAAAGACAGCGGGAGAAACTACCTTGAGAAGTCTGATGAGAATCTGAGCTGAGGCTTGGTATGTAACAATGAAATGTCGTCCAATTGAGTACTCACTCTCTTAAACTTTAAATCTTGAAATAAATTATTTGTTTGTGTTTGTGTGTGTGAACATGATTTAGTGTGGTGAAAGCTGTCATAGCAAGCAGCAGGAGAGCACCTTGTTAACTATTTATACTATATATGTATACTGCATGCTCAAAATATCAGCTCATTGCATTTTTTATTTACTCACAGTTTAATACCATTCTAATCAAAATATCAATCAACCTACAGGTAACCTAGGTCAAATCTTAAACACTGGTCTATGAATAAGGTTTTATTGTGATGCAGGCAGTCATTTAGGCACAACAACAGTTTTGGTTGAATGTTCAGCTCAAGTCTAGAAGGCCCTACGAGTCATGATGCCGAACATGAATCAGAATAAGTTCAGGTATTGCACATCTTTAGCAGACCACCCAAAAATCCACTAGAATGCAGGACATCACATCTACTTAATCCAAAATTTCCTGTGGTTGGACCTTCAGCTATGTCTGCTTCTCAGAATGTCACCAATATTGTCCATCTCCAGTAGGCTGCCCCTATCAGCGGCTTTGGGCCTCCCCACAAACCACCAGAATGCAGGGTACAACATGGGTACAACATCAAATGAATTCCAATCCAATTGATATCTGAGCCACCAACTTGTGTGACTGCGTGCGCGGCATCATTTTGGTCACCCCCGACAAAATCTCACTCCAAGGTTTTTTGAAAAGTTGGCAGGTATGTACTATGTGTCACAGTCCTGAATAACTATCTCATGTAACTCAAACTATGGTAGGCAATCTTCTTAGCAACTTATAAGATTTCTAAAATTATACTCTCCACCCCAAAGAAAGTTCATTGTAAACCTAGTAAACTCAAAAATGGCAAGATGTCTTCCTCGCCCCCGACCGGGGTGCTGCTCCACAGTGTGCTCAGTCAGCTCATTAGTGTTACTCTAATATGCCTTCCCCCAGTGGCTGATGAGCAGCACCCCCAGCCAGTGAGCAAGGAGTTGTAGTGTTAATGGGGTTGTTTTTATCTACCTTATAAGTTGCTAAGAAGATTTCACACCATCTGGTGAGTTCACATTTTCAACATTTTTCCCATTACAAACTCTATAAGGCAGTTTTATTAAATATCTAAGTTATGGACATAGCGATCAGGGCAGCAATGTGTCTCTTTTGGATTTTGTGTATTTTAAGTGATACAAACAAAAAATTCTCTTTAAAATATGTTACAATCAGTTGATCCTGAAAGGGTCCCTGACAGGGCTCCCACTCTTTTTAAGAATTATTTTTCCAGGAGATTTTTCAGGAGTTTTAATTGACATTACAGTTGCTCCAAATGGTCATATAATTTACCGATAGGCCTAGTATTGCAGTGTTCATGATAAAGCATCTCAGCTTCATTACAGGTAGGTGCTCAGCGCTTATTGCACATTTGTGTTACCTGTGTGCTAAATCTTTGTGTTCCAATGTTTCTTGGTCAATTTTATTTAATTTCTTCACAGAAATGAACAAAATTCTGTACTCACCACATGTCGATGGGTGTGGAGTATTCTGTAGAGCCCAGCAGCACATCAGGGGGCCGATACCATAGAGTTACCACCTCATTAGAGTAGGTCTTAGTGGGAACGGACTTGGCCCTCGCCAAACCTGGACAACACAAAGTGGTCAAGATTTTAACAATGTGAGTCAGAAGGGCTTTCATAAGGCTATTTTAGCGCGCCTGTTCTTTGTGCAAACATTCAACCTCTTTCACTTTGCCTTTGTACCACAGTTCCCTCTAAATGTCATGTATTTTGTGTCTCCACAGGTGTAGAATGAAACAGTAGGATGCAATAAGTCTCATATAGTCCCTCTATCAGCTCATATGCCGTTTTTAGTTAAAACAGGTGAAAAATAGGGGAATACCGGTGGGTTTATCAACCCATATCCAGCACAAAATTGAGAAAATTCAGAGAGAGGGGCACAGTTGCTAGGATACAGGAAGTAAGGTTGCTAAAGTAATCAGGACAGGAGATCTCCGAGTGGCAGTAAAATATAATTGGAAAGCGATTGTGGCAGGAAATGTGTTATCCTATTCCCAAGAGTCTGTGGCTTTATGACCACATTTGCATTTGTTGATGTCCGTATACGCCGCATGTGAGCACGCGGCTGTTTTTCTTACCAAAGTCAGCCAGTTTGAGCTCGCCCTTGTCGTTGATGAGCAGGTTCTGAGGCTTTAGGTCTCTATGGAGGATTTTCCTCTTGTGACAGTAGGAAAGACCACGCAGCAGCTGGAACATGAAGATCTGTAGGAGAAAAATGGAAATTGGAAAATGAAGATCAAACATTAGACATCTGTATATGTGATTATAATGGGACATGGATTTTAAAACTACTGCAGGTTCCTCAGTTGGGAATAAACCTGTAACCTATGACCTTTATTAACCTCCATCAAGAAAGGAACAGAATTTGTCTCCTCCTATTCAAGTCTCCCCTCACCTCGCATGAATACTCAATTCTGATTGGCTGCTGGGTGTTCAATGATGTAGGATACCAACTAAGTAGTTGCAGTGAAACTGTACACAGTTCTAAATGAATGTGCTAACATAAACTGAATGAAAATAAAATCTGTATATATCATAATATATATATATATATATATATATATATATATATATATATATACCTTATAACACTTATTAAGTGTTTGTCAATCATACGCAGTGTTATTGACTTTGAATCATGCTAGCATAACGTTAGCTGTCTGGTTCGGAGCTCAGCGTCTGAGTGTCTCTGAGCGGAGGGAACAAGAAATAGCTCCAGTTGCCAAGTTGTGTCTGAGGTTCATCCTATTTACTGGAGTAGTGAACAACATTTCCCTTACATTAGAACATTATAGGATGGTAATGATTCTTCTAGGTATTAGGAAGGACCTCAGGTGTGAAACAGAATTATGGCTTGAATCTGAAAACACCAGAAGTTTTGTTAAACAACCATCTGGGGTTTTCACCAAGTTTTTTTTAATTTAATTTAATTCTTTTCAGAATATCAGATGCTTGACTGCGTGACTGACATGTAATGGTAAACCGGGACTGCCCTGTCATTCTATGATTCTTTTAGATTTGTGCACATGAAGTAATGATTTTGTGTGAATTAATTTGATTGATTCAATTCCAGGACTCCATGGCTACCATGCAAAATTAATTCTGCTTCATTATTTGCTTTTTGGCTTCAAAATGAGCAGCTGCAAACGCTGGGTCTGTGTATGTGTGGTGGCGAGGGAATAGAGGAGTGTTTAAAATAGAAACTCCCTATTAAATGACTAAATTAATTTATTTCAATGAAAGCCAACGTGATATGGGTTCAAATGATGTCTTAGCACATATGTAAAGTGTCCCTCTGGTATACAGTGAGACATCTAATGCTGCTGAGTCATCTTCACACCGGGGGCTCACCTTGACGTTATGCATGCTCATGAGATTCCCACAGTTGTCCAGGTACTGTTTAAGATCACTGTCCTGGAAGACACAATAGACACAGTGGTCACACTCGCACCTATCCACATTCCACTCATGTAACTGAGGTCGACACCTTCTGAGCGGCTTCATGCTGAACTGTCCATGTACTCACAAGATACTCAAACACCAGAGTGAGGCAGCGTTCGGTGTGGATGATGTCGTGCAGCGTGACGATGTTGGCGTGTTTGAGGTTCTTCAGTAGAGACACTGTGTGGTCAGAGAAAGGAGAGATAAGTTGTGCTGTTTACCTAAAATGTGCCTCCAGAACGGCAACATCAGCAGTAGAAACTACGGCAAAACAATCTACTAACACCCCAGATCATACTTTAAGTATTTTCATTTCAACGTTTGTAGTATTTTGATAGTATTATGTTCTTAAATTAATTTATAAAATTAAAAATATATATATTTCAGAGATTCCTCCATGTACCACCAGAGGCAGCTTGCGTACCACCAGTGGTACACACACACCATAGTTTGACAATTTGTCCTTGAGAAATCACTTAAATCTAGAGATCATTGTATCTGAGGCCTACCTTAAACCGTAAACCAGTTCCATACTAATATATCAACTGACTTTAAAATGTCAGTGAAACTTAATAAAGAGATGGAAAAATGTTTCTCCAAAAATCTGGTTCCAAAAATGGTTATTTGTTGTTGTTTTCAGAGGTGTTCCTGGAGCTGTTTTCATGTTTTGTTCCAGCTCAGTAGTTCCTCCATTTATGCATTGCACTGCAGGACTAAAGTGTCAATCAACAGCACACTCACAAATCAAGTTGCTCTATTTATGCACACTGACTGTTTTGAGTATTTTATTTATTATTTATTTATTATTATATCTTACTTATATATTTTTTCAGTATGGATTTGGGATACAGATTAGCTCTAACAGAGGTTTAAGGTGATAAAGGTCAGAATTAGGGCAGGTGCTATTTGCTATGCATGCTAGATTCATCCAATTTTCCATAGTGCGTAAACCTTTGTGATTTCTCTTTGACAGCAACCTCTCATTGAACAGCCACATAAAATACAGTCATACAGTCATGCTTTTTTCAACTAAGGAAAATCTGCAAGATTAAGCCATTTCTCTCAACCAAAAATCTGGAAACAGTCCTTCATACTTTTTATTCATCTCGCCTAGATTACTGCAACTCTCCTTTCTCTGTGTGCAGCAATTAGTCTTTCTCCTCCTTACAACTGATTGAAAAAATGCAGCCACCAGGATGTTAACCAGGTACCAGAAAAAGAGAACACAGTACACCGACCCTTTCATCTCTGCACTGGCTGCCTGTAGAGTTGATTTAGAAATTTTAATGATCACTTTTAAGGCAAAAGTAATAATCCAAGTGTGATGAGATGAAGGTGTATCAATTATTGCAACAGCACATGCCCAGCACATGAAGGAGGACATGAGGTCAGTTTAGTAAAGTTTTAGCAAATATGACAAAAAGTTAATTTAGTAAAAATCAGCTTTACATTTTTTTTTTTTTGTGATAACCAAAGGTGCAGTTAGATTAAAATCAATAAAATACAGTGCACAAGGCAAGTCCACCATATGTCCGGTGCTAAGTGACACAGCAACAATCCCCCACAAGTGAATGTACATTAGGCTATGATTAAGTCAAAGTGGCAAATTAAAATGTGCTTCAGTCACTTCCTTGTAGTACGACTTGTCCTCATTATCCACCTGAGGGCAGCACCCCTGGACTGGGAAATGTGTGTGTGTGTGTGTGTGTGTGTGTGTGTGTGTGTGTGTGTGTGTGTGTGTGTGTGTGTGTGTGTGTGTGTGTGTGTGTACCTTCTCTGATAGCAGTGCAAGGTGCCCCCTCCTCGTGCTCCAGCCGAATCTCCTTTAACGCCACCAGGTTCTCTGTTAGTTTGCTTCGCCCTTTGAACACTGTGGCATACGTCCCCTATGAACACAAACACACACACACAACTCTGTTGACGTTCTGATGATTCGATATTCTGAAGAACTGTTATACAAATGCCAGTAGGTATGTCTTTTTTCTATTATTAGCAATAGATTAATGAAGTTACTTTGAATCTGTTTACTTTCACTGTCTGTTTACTTTTTCCACCATAGCACATAAACATAAAATATTGCAGTAGATAAGTAATTCCATCTGACTGAATGAGGTTAGAAGTTTTAACCGCTATCATCCATGAGCAGCATCAAAACATTACATCAACATAATGCAAGCGTCTCGAGCAGGCTTTGATTTAATCCATTAATTAAGTGCATATTTATTTCTTTGGGATCTGATTATTGGGATTTCTCATTTACTGACTATGACAGCGCATCATCCTCACTCAGTATTATCCTTCATATATTCTGTCCTTGCAGTGCAGACAATTCTTCTATCATTATGTTGTTGATTGTTCTAATAAATGAGCAGATCCACTACTGCAGGCTGAAAAGAGAGCAAATCTTTTCAGATATTGAGAAAAAGAACATTAATAAATGGGATACTTGTATAATGGCTACATACGCAAATCACTGTGTTCCACTGCATATAACCCGAACCATGCTATTGTGAACCCCAGGTTATGATAATTGACAACAAAAGCAGCTCTTTTCGTTCCTTCACCCGTGCTGTTATCTGCTGCTGAGCCTTGTGACTGAGACTAATGCAGACAGCTTCTGTCACTAATCATTCCTTACTCCTTAAGGCAATAAGTGTTCTCAGATGAAGGGTGTGCGATTTAAGTGCATTGGCCGTGTTGTGCAATCTTAAAGCCCTCCTCATCCACAGCACGACAGTGCATTATGATCTCACAGAGTACATGGTGGAGCACATAGTGTAAATGCAGATTTAAAAGTTATATGTGTATAAGGATAAGGTGAGTCCTGAGCAGAGAATGACATCACACTCCCTCTGCCTGTGTTGCTATCGCAGCCTCTCTGTAGTTTGTGTACTGTTTTTCTCATCTACATCAGTAAATTAAAGATTTATTTCAACCAGAGCAGAGCTGGTGGCTATTGAAACAGTGGAAAGACTAACAAAGATGGTTTTGTTGAGTTTTATTTTGTTTATGTCCACTTTGAATTAAGTTACAATGATATGCAAGGTAAAATTCACGTTTTGTCTATGGAGTCTGGTGACAAGCGATACCAATATAACGACTGTTTGTGTTTAAACAAAAGGTCACTCTGCAGGGATCCTTTCCATAATGTTGTCAGACACTTAGAATAACAATCTGTCAGTGGCAGCAACTTTTGTTGGACGTACATTGACCAGCATATTTGTCCCATTGACATATAAAAGATGGACGTTGTGTCTCCACTTCCTCCCACTGTACACAAATTAACTCAAAATATCCCAGATACGGCTGCTGCCATCTTTGCCACTCAGAGCCAGAGTCTGTGCAGTAGTGATAGGGGTTGGCGCCACAGTATCAAAGTTCCACCCATATGCCAGGCCGACTTAATTGTGAGCGGGGCTCAGCTGTCAATCATGACATGAAACCCCCTTTTGATAGCTTCAAATAACTCATTAAAACAAAAACTTATCAGAGAAATGAACACTTGAACATACATCAGCATGATAAGAACTACCTAAAAAAAAGTTAGTAGGCAGCAGGCTTTATGACCTATACAGCAGTCAGCCACCAGGAGGCAATCAAGATATTTTGTCTCCACTTTTGGAGAGCTGTCATCCACCTCTATATATGTCAATGAATCTTCCACAAGGATTAACGTTAGCTCAAAAAGATGGTTTTGGTAAGCTTTATTTATTATTAGTTTCTATCCCATTGTTTTGGTCTGAGATGCTGGGGCTCTAGTGCAACATCCGGTGTCAAGTTAATTTTGAGTATAACAGTTAAGACACGTCATTATTCTTGTTAAGATGCAGCAGCCAACTCCGACTGATGCAAGAAAATAGACACATGGGCATACTGTCGTCTGTCTTGTTTAGACATGTAAACAAAGCTGTATGTTGTATCCATTTCGACAGACTCTGTTCTCCCCTGAGAGGCTTGACAGAAAACCAGTTAAGTATAATGAAGAGTCGCAGACAACTTGTGGTCAGCGAGGTCAATATTATACACCAGAGAGATGCTTTATTGGTGTTTGATAGAAGTTCCGTCTAGCTTCAAGTAATTGCTCAGTGTCTGCAGTAGGCGTTGCAATTGTACAGTCATCACTGGGCTACACGTCAACTGTTTCCACCGAGTGTCTGAAAAATGTTTAAAGATGAATGTGTGAGTAACTAGTATTGACGTACCTCACCCAGTTTGCCAAGCTTCACGTATGTCTCCAGTTTCCCAAAGCCTATGTCAGACTAGAGACAAAAAGAAAAAGACAAATCACTGATGATTCTCTCCTGAGTCAAAAGATCACATTTGCATACTTTAGTTTACATTTTCTTAAGTTAATTAAACACAAATCCTTGTTTGCTCTGTTAACCTGGCAGGGAAAAAAGCCTCATAATTGAAAACTGGGGAAAAAATTTAAGAAAGTAATATACTGATTATAATATTAACATAGAAGGCAGAAAATATGGGCGGCTGTGGTTCAGAGGCAGAGCGAGTCGTCCCCTAATAGGAAGGTTGTTGGTTCGATCCCCGGCTCCCGCACACATGTCAAAGTATCCTTGAGCAAGATACTGAACCCCAAATTGCTCCTGATGCTGTGCATGCATCTGTGTGAAAGGGTAAATGTGGCATGTAGTGTAACCAGTAATACCAGGCAGGGAAAATAAGAGGACTAGTAATTTGCAGAGAGGGAATATGCTCTGTAAAAGGAGCCACTGGTTCAAGACTAATCTATCAAATGGATTGTAAAATAAACAAGAAACCAATATGATTGCTAAAATGAGAGTTAGATGAACAAAAAGCCTTACAGCGGCCATTATGACCTGAAATATTGACCACTGTCATGAAAACACTTTATATGCCTATGGTTATATGTATGAGATTCTAATATATCACAGATAGATAGATACATATGTAGTAACATACTGTAGAGCACTAACCAGTGAAGCACGTCGAGACATGCGACTGAGAGGTTTGCAGAGCGGTGAGTTGTCACTCTCCAGCTGCAGCTTCTTGAGAAACTCTGGAGGGAGGCGGATGTCCATGGGCAGAGACATGCGCTTACTGACATCCTGCAAGAAGTCAGCAGACACAGAGGTCAGAGGTCACAACAGACTGCTATCTATTTATCTGTCTGTTGTGGATGTAGAGTTTAGCCACCTGTTTAGATAGTACAAACATTAACATAATTTATGTTTTTTTATATATATATATATATATATATATATACAAGACAGTGTGAAAGACAAACATTCCCAAGCCTGGCAATTTTAACAATAGTCATAGTTAATACTATATTACTAATTCTAATACTATTAAAAAAAAGGGAGAAATATGTAAATTAGATGCACACACACAAAATAAAGTAAAAAAAAGAAAAGAAAATGGGGATGGGGGGGTTCTCCAGATTCTCGAGTTAAAAGTAAGAAATTAGGAGGCTGATGGCAGAGTGGGGGTGATCTCAGCAGCACTAAGAGAGGAGAAATGGGAAATAAATGGTTCCCGAACCAGGCAAACTTTTGTTGCTTATCATCCCTCAAATACCTAATCTTTTCAAGGTGAATGTAGCTCATCATAAGATAAGATAAGATAAGATATTCCTTTATTTATCCCCCTTAGGAGATAAATAAAGTAGTGCAAAAACAGAGAACAAAGAATATCACAATAAAAATATTACTAATATTATTAATATTAGAAGATATAAAACTATAAATTAAAGTATTTACACTATGCATTGTTCTAGTAGGATATGGAGTGCAAAATATAAGCAGAAAATTAAGCTTGACTAAAACTAAAAAACTAAAACTAAACTAAAACTACTAAACTGCTAAAGTGGAAATTAAATATAAATAGTGCAAAAGGCTTGTGCGTTGTAGGTAGGCGTTTTAAATTAGTCTTTGTCTGCGGGGGTTGGGGGTACTGGGTGCTCTGGCGTTGTGGAGTCTGATGGCTGATGGTACAAACGAGCCTCCAAACCGCTTTGAGGCTTGGGGCTGGGTCAGTCTGTAGCTGAAAGTGCTCCTCAGCTGCCTCAGCTCAATGTAGAGAGGATGAGAGAGGTTGTCCATGATGGCTTTCAGCTTCCCTCTCATCCTCTTTTCAGTCACAGCCTCCACACTGTCCAGCTCCATCCCCACCACCGAGCTGGCCTTCCTCACCAGCTTGCTAAGCTTGTTGGCACCCCCAGTGCTGATGCCTCCCCCCCAACAGACCACCACAAAGAAGAGGACACTGGCCACTACAGACTGGTAGAACATCTTTAGTAGACGAGTGCACACCTTGAAGGACCTAAGCCTCCTCAGAAAGAACAGCCTGCTCTGTCCTTTCCTGTAGAGGGCCTCAGTGTGATCCGTCCAATCCAGTTTATTGTTGAGTGTCACCCCCAGGGACTTGTAGGTGTCCACCATCTCTACCTTCTCCCCCCTAATCTCAACAGGGGAGGGGGTCCTCTTGCTCCGCCGGAAGTCCACCACCAGCTCTTTGGTTTTTCCTGTGTTGAGCTGTAGGTGGTTCCTGTCGCACCATCCAATGAAGTTCTCAATCAGGTCTCTGTAATCCTAAGAGCATGTGAGCGGAGCGAACCGGATGAAAATTTCCACTCCTCGCTAACCCGACCTGTCAATTTGCGCCGCTCGTCAGCTCTGCCTGGTTCTGCGCATTCTCCGCTCCTCCTCCCTATCATCTGAGATACAGCCGACAATGGAGGAGTCATCAGAGAACTTCTGTAGGTGGCACGCTCCAGAGTTGAAGCAGAAGTCAGAGGTGTAGAAGGTGAAGAGGAAAGGTGACAGTACAGTTCCTTGGGGTGTACCAGTGCTGCTCGTTACCACATCTGACAAGCAGCTGTGCAGTCTGACATACTGTGGTCTGTGAGGTAGTCAGTGATCCAGGCCACAAGGTCCTGATCCACCTGCATCACAGAGAGCTTTTCTGCCAGCCGGAGAGGCTGGATGGTGTCGAAGGCACTGGAAAAGTCGAAAGAACATGATCCTCACGGTGGTCTGTGACTTCTCCAGGTGGGTCTAAGCTCTGAGAAGGGCTGTAGAGGAAGAGGGTGGGGTAGCCAGGGTGTGAATGGGGGTACCTGAGGAGGTGGAGGGGGTTTAAAAGTCAAACCTATTGACTTACAAACCCATCTCATCTCATATCATGTCATGAACCCAGTTAATATGAGCAGGTGGATGCTCAGATTTCCAGTTTAGAAGAACCAGTCGTCTAGCTTTTAAAGTAGAGAAGGTGAGGGCACCCTTTTGAAGATTTGAGAGTTTTGTGTTTTTTGGTGCTAGGCCAAAAAGTGAAACAAGTGGGCACAGGCTGATTGTTGAGCCCATTGCTATTGACAGGGAGTTAAAAATAGATTTCCAGAAAGTGATCAGTTTGGACAAAGCCAGAACATATGGAGGAGCGATGCAGGAGCTTGCCTACATCTATCACAAGTAGGGTCCATATCTGGTTTAACCTATGCTAGTCTGACCTTAGTCCAATAAATGCGATGTACAAATTTGAACTGTATGAGGTTATGACGAGCGCATATAGAAGAGGAATTAATCCTCCTTAGAACTTCTTTCCACTCCTCATCTTTAAACTTATGATCCAAATCGTCCTCCCAGTTTTGTCTTGTGGCTATAACAGAAGAGGGAGAGAGTCCAGTACTGAGGTCATAAAGTGTAGACACAGCTCCCTTACCATTGACATTAATTTCTATAATAGCGCCAAGGGGCATTTGGGGCGGGAGTCTTGGGAAGTGTGAAAAAGTTTTCCTGACGAAGTCTCGAATCTGAAAAAACCTAAAAAGGTGGGTCTTAGCGAGGTTAAATTTTGAAGATAACTGTGAGAAGGAGGCAAACACTCCATCAACATACACTTCCTTAATAGTTCTAATTCCCTTCTTAGATCAGAGCCGAAAGACATTGTCATTCAATGGTGGGGGAAATGCTGGGTTTCTATTGCAAGGAGAGGACAACTGGGATGATTGAAGCCCAAAGTGGGATCTGAACTGTCTTTCTGAACTGTGTCAAAGTTAGTGGGGAGCAAAGAAGCTCTGGCAATGTGGCCAGTAGAGAATGCTGTGAATGTTGGCGGCCCAGTAGTATGACTGAAAGTCTGGGAGGGCAAGCCCCTCAGACATTTTTGGTAGTTGTAGTATAGACCTTCGTATCCTACTAGGACCTTTATTCCAAATGAAGGAAGAAATGGCTTGGTTAAGGGTTCTGAAAAATGCTTTCGGAATGAAAATGGGGACACACTGAAAAAGGTACAGAAATTTAGCTAATATGTTTATCTTTACAGTGTTAATATGACCTGTTAGTGACAGAGGGAGAGATGACCAGCGTGTGAAGTCTGATTTAGCAGATTCTAGAGCTAGTATGAAGTTCTTATAAAATAGGTTGGCAGGTTCTGCGTGACGGTAGTTCCTACGTATTTAAATTAATGAACCTCTTCAGATTCAGGTTTGGAAGGGGAGTAAATAACATTCAAAACACGCCTAATGTTGAAAAATTATTTTCTATTTTTAATAAATCCCGTCTGATCATTGTGGACAAGTTCAGGTAAAATGGGTTCCAGTCGTTTAGCGAGAATTTTAGCAAGAATTTTGGTATCCACAGAGCAGAGACTTCTGAGGTCTGTAATTATAATAATTACCACAGTCCAACGAATCTTGAGCTTTCTTTGGGATTAAAGAAATTAAGGCTTGACGGACAGAGAGGGGCAAGAGCCCACTTTTAAGAGCATCATTAAACATATCAACCATAGGTCCTGCCAGAATGTTGTATGTGGCTTTGAAGAATTCAACCGAAAAACCATCTGGGCCCGGAGCTTTGCCAGATTTCATAGACTGAATGGCACAGGAAATTTCCCCAGCGGTGAGGGGCAGGTCAAGCTGAGCCTTACACTCAGGGGTAATGGTGGGTATTTCTATATCACAGAAAAAAGAATCCAGTGCCTGTGCGTCCGCACTTGAACCTGATTTATAAAGGAGGGAGTAGTAGTCCGAGAAGCAGCTGTTTATGTCAGATGGGTTAGTGAGGATGTCACCAAGAGGCGAACGTATTTGGGAGATTACATTTTTGGCCCTCTGTTGCCTTAGCTGCAGGGCCAGTAGTTTACTGGGTTTATCTCCAAATTCAAAATAACTTTTCGAAGTAATTGGACTGCTTGATTGGTAGATAGCAAGTTTAACTCGGTCTGTAAAACAAGCCTCTTCTTGTATGATTCAGGATCAGGAGAATCTGCATATTTCGAGAATGTCCGAGGAGAGATTCAGCAATTTTGATCTCAGTTGTTTCGCTGGTGCATGATTAGAAATTGTAATACTGTCGTATGAACAGGATTTAATGGTGGGTAACATTTTTTGATCAACAAAGAAATAATCTATTCTACAAAAGGAGTGGTGTACTGGGGGAAAAAAATAATATTGATGTGCATTAGGGTGTGCGTCCACAACACCATAATTGTCTAGAAAGGACTGAATAGTTTTGGCAGTTAGAGACCGGGTGTTTGCCCTAAGAGAAGATCGATCAAGGGAAGGATTCAGTGCTCAATTGAAGTCCCCTCCCATGATAAGCTGATGGGTGTTAAGATCAGGCAGAAGAGAAATCAGTTTGGAGATGAATTGGTGGTCGTCCCAATTTGGTGCATATACATTGCAAAGTGTGACTTTAGAGGAATACAGAACGTCGGACACAATTACAAATCTGCCCAATGAGTCCTCAAGTGTAGTCGAAGGGCTGAACTGCACATTGTTTTGGAAGAGGATGGCTACACCCCGGCCTTACTCTTTGTGAGATCCAGGGCCTGTGAAGGCGATGGTGTTGATTCAATTTAAGATGTGTTTCTTGTAGAAACAATACATCCGCATTAAAACTCTGAATACTTTCAAATACCTTATTTCTTTTGATCAGTGAGTTAAGGCCTTTTACGTTCCAGCTTAGGAAATTAACCACTCCATCCTTGGCTAGGGCAGTCTTCTTCACCTGGTTACTTGCCATATGGGAAGAATATGAGGATACAGCCTATAAGTGATCTGGTATTTACTGGAGAAATCTAGAGACAAGGGGGAGGTAGTTACATAAACAGAAAAAACGAGATGTGAATGTTGGAGTGAGAAACAGCCATGAAAAATAGTAATGAACAGAGTAGAATGACCATTAAAAGGGAACACAGGGCATTCAGAACTAACCCAAACACTGACAGAGGAAATTCCCTGACACCTACCCACTTCCAACAGGGTTTTGCTCAAGGATATACCTAGCCCTGAGAGCACTGTGAACATATAGGCTATGAAGCTATTAGAAGCCAAGAGTAAAGTGAAGTCTCCATAAAATTTTAATTTTTTTAACCTAAAATTAAATTTGGGAAAGGGGAAAAAAAAAAAAAAAAAAAAAAAAAAAAAAAAAAAAAAAAAAAAAAAAGGGGGGGGGGGGGGGGGTAGAGTCAAAAAACACACACACACACACACACACACACACACACAAAAAAGGACAAGACCCGTTTTCCAAAAATAAAAGTCTAGTTGTTGACCATGGTAACTTACAGGGCCAATTTTGGCGGACTATTTAAGTGATGAGATGGGTGGATGAATGAAAAACACTGTTGCTGTGGCAACGGAAGGCGGGCAGCAAGGCGTTTTAAAGCAGTTCAAAAAGAGAAAAAAGACAAAGATAAATAAAATAATAATAATGTAATACTAACAATAAAAATAAGATTAATTCAATATATAATAATGAGATTAACAGAGTAGAGAAACCTGTTTGAGGGGTCTGTTATCTGGTACAGCTGAATAAGGTAGTGGCATTATAACCGATTATACAGGTCTCGGAGATTCAGTCATGCTAGCGAGCTCATCCATGGCGTTAGCATTAGCTTCAGGTTCAGAGTCCGTTCCCCTTCGTGGCATTTTTGTGCACGATGATGACGTAAGGTACCTCAACAGTCAACAAGGAGGAAATAAATAAAGAAATGGTGGGCTTCACATAAAACGAATTTAAAAGTCTAGTTCACAGAGCGACTCCCGCATGTGTCTCACCACCTGCAGCGCACCTAACCTACCGCAAGTCACATCATTCATGACTCCAACAGCCTTCAATCTGCCATGTTGATCTGCCATGTTTCTACAAACACTGGTTCTCGATCAGTGGTTCTCAACCTTTTTCCTTAAGGGACCCCTTTTCTATCATTTACTAAACTCATGACCCCTGACTAAGTGACATATATATTATGGATATTCCATCAAAACTATAGCCTACAATTAAACCAAATAGTAAACTCAATAACTGCATTAAGTTTGTATTTATTTCCTGTTTATGGAACTTTGTCTGTCTGTATTATGTTTTGTAACAATCATACATACTTATTAGGCTTTCCTTGTCCCTGACGCTAGGCCATTGTTCTATTAGACAACTCACTTAACAATTTACGTTTCTAGTAAAGTTCAGGATTGAACTAAATGTTGAGATATAGGCCTACTGTGTATATTGTAAGTTTTCTTACATCCCTTAAAATCAAGAAGGCCTTGCAACACCCTGTGAAGCTTTGATGACGCCTTGCAGGGGTCCTGACCCTCAGGTTGAGAGCCACTGCTCTAGATTGGGCCTTTTGCGAGTTTCACAGCCACCGTAGTTGCTCCTACACACTTGAAAGGTTAGCCGTATTCATCTGGTTGCAATCTGCAATCTGTTCACACCATGGCACCTGACATGAGGCTAATCGGTCAATAGTGAAATCACCTGTGTGGGTGTACCATGTGCAGGCCTTTTAAATGTTAAGAAATCATTAATTAATGAAGGGCTCTTCCACTAGAGTAATAAGTCAAGTCTGGGCATGTAAATGTTAATGAGACTGTGGTCTGAATGCTCTGTTGCTCTTTTCCAGGAGGTAAGTTGAACTGTCAATTGGAAAGGTCTTCCTAATGAATTAGCAAAAAAGCTAGTAAAAAAGAAATGTTACACCAGCTAGACTCACAAGACGTGAGTAAAGTAAGTACGTTTTTTTTGATAGAGACTGGTGACTTTCCACCAGCTACCAAAACTGGGTGGTAGTTTTAAAAAGATCTTGCATTACAGAACCAGTCCAAAGTCCTTAGGGTGATTATACACGGAAGTTGTGTGCTTGTTAGCACTGTTGTACCATATAATATTGCTTGGGACATCCATTTTCCATGTTTTAAAAAGCTACAAAGTTACAAAGTGATTTGCTATATATCGATTAAAGGACATAATAAGCAGCCCAGCACTACTAGGGTTTAACGAGTACTCTGTAATGAATATCCGGTAAAGATAATGTATTTTTAAAGAGTATCAAATGAGTAGAGATGTCAATATCTGTCCTCGTTAATATAGCAACTTCAGATCAACCCATATCAATTGCAGGCTTAAATTAACAACTTCCAAACAAACACAGATCATTTAGTTGGCTGAACAGATACAGATTCTGATAATGGTGTACTTGCCTATTGATCAACTACCTTGCATTTAGAAATACCCAGACAATTGGAAGGCAGGGAGAGCTTGGATAATCTGGTATAGAGTCTATACTCCAACTGAAGGGATAGTTTCACATCATGGCAACCAAACAATTGTCCCCATCAATTGCTTACTGATCTATAAAGCATTGATTAACCATAACAAGTCATTAACCAGCCATTACTTGTACACCCTTTATTAGAAAGAGGTACATACATTTCTCATTCTTGGTAAATGAAGCTATCCAGATTGTCTAAGCTCCCAGCCCTCTCACTGTCACACTATTATTTCTGTCTTGACAGCACCAATGCCTTCCTGAGCCTTCACTTCCCTCTGGCATAGCTTCACTTGACTGTCTGGTACGAGTTGTATGGAGCATGAGAAAGACTCAAAGTGAATCACACTCACTCCAGGGACTTTTTCTGAAAGGGTGGAACTGTGAACTCTCACATTTCTAATAAAAAATCTGGTGGTGTTGGGAGGGTTAAAAGCTTCTGAGGTGACTCATCTCATCGAGCTGGCAGAGGTGGAAATGGAGAAATGGCTCCTGGGAAGAGTTTAAACAAGAGAACAAACTATATGTGCCACTGATATCTATGTCAGGTTGACTTTTAATGTGTTTAATGTGCAGTTGAACCTAGAGAGTTTCCTATCAGTGCACAATCAGAAACAAGTAAATTGCTGTTCTGAAAAGCTTGGCAGCATGTGACTACAGCATGAGCGGAAACTAAAGTGAACACTTTGCCTGTTAACCCCTCATCTGTCACATTAACCTGTGTCCTACAGCTGCACTTTGAGCTTCTGCCACTCACCTCCATGGAGAAACGTCTATGCTGGGCCTTGCTGTGATAGTGGAGGTGGGAAGGAGACTGGGCTCCCGGTGTTGTTGGTTCAGGGCTCACCGGACTGGCATCATGAGATGGTGGACCCAGCCTGTCTGGAGTCAGGCCTGAAAGAGGAGAAACAAAAACACATTTGCAGATGCGCATATGGGTGACAAAACGAAAATCAATGGTTTATAAGGGATCACCACAAGCTTTCAGAACAGCTTAAATGATCAATGGCATACATTCTTCAAGTCTCAACACATCATGCCATAAACTGTGTGCAGTTGTGTTAACTGTGGAGGCCATGGCATGTGAGTAACATAATTTATATACTCATCATTCAGTGATACCCTGTGCCCTGCGTGGAAACATCTGCCTTCATTATGTTTTGAAACTCATTTATTTAAGCTCATAGTTAGTCGCTACAGAGAAAGAACTAGAGCTGACATCTAAACATGAAGTGCATAATGTCATAATTAAACTACATTTCTCAATAAAATCACCTCTTTCTTACCTTTTCTATTTTCAGAGCTACTTCTTCTTCTTTCATTTTATGGACTGTATGTCATTTTTACATATTAAACAAATGAGATATAAGGTCAGTCCATTACCCCTGAGTGTAAGGCTCAGCTTGACCTGCCCCTCACCACTGGGGAAATTTCCTGTGCCATTCAGTCAGCTTTGAAAGTGCTGGTTGGTAAATTTAGTTAACCTTCTACAGAGCTAGGCTAGCTGTTTCCCCATGCTTGCATTCTTTATGCAAAGTTAAGCTTAATGGCTGCTGGCTTCAACTTTATATTTACTGTACAGGCATAAGATTGGTTTCAGTCTTCTCATCTTACTTCCAGCAAACATATTCCCAAAATGTCGACTATGGTCAGTGTGAAGCTCTACAGCAGTACAGAGCATTGTAGTGCCTTTCAGCGTGTTGTTTTGGTTTTACAGCTGTTGACTGTTTTCAGCAGCAGGCAGCTTTTTTCAGCAAACCATTTCTAAAAACCCACTACCTACCCAGCACCAAAGGCAACCAGCTGATGAACAAAGAGCATCATTTAGTAGCTAAACAGTCAGATATTTTTCACAGCAGTTGGTGAGGACCAAAACAGAGCTATAAGGAGGCTGAATACAGGTACATAGATGGTCACTAAAACCCATATCCAAATGATGCTCCATGTTTTCTGGATTGTAAATAGGCAAGTGTTTCACTTTCTTATTTAAAGTTTTCTGTCAGGGTGTGTAACTGTTTCTAGATGACATAACATAAGCACATAAGCAAGATTTATAGTTTTACGTTAAGGGTAGCCTTTCTTGCAAGCTTTTTCTCCTAAATTCCTGATGCAAGTTAAAATTATTGATAGTGAAGACACCAGGCCATGTGCCAATACTGGAAAAATGCTTACTTCCTCCTTTTACCACACAAAGCAAAGAAAGGCACACAAGCACAAAATGGACTCTAAGCGTCTTCTTTTCAGAGACGAGGCACATCAAGACAACAGAGAAGATTGAGACAGCTGACATGAATGTGTCAGATATACTGTGGGCGCACAAGCATGGCAGTGCGACAGCTATTCAGTCAGTGTGGTGGGAAGAATGGACTTTGATCCTCATCATACAGCATTGTATGTGATTTGCGTTTGATGCCTGGTCGGTGTCTTTTGAATGCTACCTGCTACGAGGTTTCAGCTGCAGTTTGATCTCCTGTTTCAATGGCGAGTGTTGGCCGCCTCACCGGTATGGCATGTGTGGTGTCTGAAGTGGACATGTGTCTCCATTTTATCAGCTGCCTCCAGACCTGTGTATGTGTGTCTTACAACCGTTCCCTCCTGGGGTGAAACAGAAAGCGCTTTAACTCCTTGTTTCCATAGGGACAATGGCTAACAAGAAAAGCAGGTCCCTCAACACACGAACATGTTATAAACACACAGACATTAATATTAACTGCATGACCTATGGTCCCTCTCATATGATAGGAAATCTAACAGGGTTGTATCAATTAAACACACACGCCTCATATAACAAGCGGCTGGTGTATCAGTGACAATAAAAAGATAAAGGACACAGACAGATAAGGGCTGAGGTGGCTCTCTGATTTTCAGATGCCTGGATAAGTTTAACAACTCATCACAGAGCGCCACAGAGGGGCCTCTAACAGGCCATTTTGTGTCAGACTGATTGACAGTCTAAATGGGCTGGAGGGATGAAATGACAACCTGTTTGCTAGTCATTTGAATATCACAGCTTACAGTGCTCCTTTGATCTCCCGATGCTAATTATGGTCAGTAGGCGACACTGATATGAGCACACACACACACACACACACACACACACACACTGTGTCTGATTGCTGTGAGATATGAATAGATGCCTGCTAGACGTCTTCTTAGGAAAAGGACAATCCAATATGGTACGCTACATGATATTTTTGTAGCGTTTCCATCTGAAACTGTGGTCAACAGTGAGAGAGGCAGAGAGGAGTCAGGAGAGGAATAACCATGGAATGTGGGTTGGGGAATAAGCTTCACAAATAATGGCAACCCCCAGGCAATGTTTGAGAAAATTTTTGACATTTTCACAGAGTTACACACATTTAAACTTACAGTCTGGTCAATACAGCCATCAAGCAACTTAAGTGTCTATCTCAAGGACGGACCCCTATTTTCAAAAAACTTAAAATTCCCTTTAAGTCATCTTCAGTGGCATGAACCTTGACAAAAAGTGCTGTGAATACTAAACAAGACTAAAACTCTACAGACATGCTAGCGGCTCTGTGAGGCTGTACTTAGACACAGTTGGAGGTAAATGCTAACATCAGCATGCTAATATCTTCACAACTACAATGGTAACATGCCATCACCACCATCGCAGTACTGTTAGCATGCTAACATTTGCTAAATAGCACTAATGATAAAGACAAGTTATGGGTTATTACACTTCATCATGGGGGAGCTTGAAAAGTCTACCAAATTTCATTACAATCCATCCAATTATGTTTCACTCAAATCAACAATCAACCTCATCGTTGTGCTAGATAAAAAGTCAGCGGACCACCAGAATCAATAGGATTCATCCACTGAGGACCATGGATGTTTGTACCAAATTTCATTGCAACCCATCCAGTTGTTGAGATGTTACAGTCTGGACGAAAGTGCTGGACTGACCGTCGGTCCTTTACTTTAGAAATCTATTACTGAAAGAAAATGCTTTCAGCACATTTTAATCTGGTGAAGGCAGTTTTCTTTTCTTCTTTTGGCAAAAAAAATCCATAATAACATTTCAGCATATTGCACTCCAAGTAGTCAGAGAAAAAAGTAAACTTCTGCTCTTCCTCCTGGCTCTGTTTTCAGACTTTGGCCAATCACAGGTCATTTCACAGAGGCTATCCTTTTGGCTGTTGCAGATGCACATACATGTCCCTTCAGATGACGAAAACCCTGATTCAGTGGTGATACATTTCAAACACCTCCTTTGTCTGCACCATCCTCAAATCCCTCTGTTAGACAGCGCCTCTGAAGCCCGCAGCACTCTGCCCTGCCCCTGACAAGTCGGGGTCTCAGTGAGGCTCAAGCCGTGGAAAGCGGGCCCCACAAGGCATGAGGTTTTGCAGGGCAACCAACTCCTTCTGCTGCCGTTCACACAAGTTGATACGAGGTTGCAAAGAGAGAGACAGAAGGTTTTGCAACTGCCCACCCTAGCTTTAAAAATCAACTGTATGTTTCTTTTAGTCAACTTATCTATCTATTCTCAGAAATGGAATATAATATTCATACGTATGTATTCATTAGTGTATAATCAGCTGAATAAAAGAATTGTTGTGTTTTTGTTACCTTAGAATGAGCTGCTTTTATCTACAGATGCCTTCCAATGTGTCTGCCATGTTGAACCGCCTTGTTTCTACAGTAGCCCATAATGGACAAACCAAACACTGGCTGTAGATGGGGACTTTTGGGTTTTTCATGAGTTTTGCAGCCACCGTAGTTCCTCCTACATACTTCACAGTCCGTTCTCTGTGTTAATGTGAAAGTGATTGCTTGTAGTGGCGAACCCACGAATACTCTTCTGCAACAAATTGCTTTGGTGGACACAGCAGGCAGTTCTGACTAAGCCACTGTATGCTGCTTGCCCAGCACCAAACAAAGTTAGCGTCTAGCTATTTAACAGAGTGGAGAATTTAGCATATTTTTTCAGGAGCTGAGTCAAAATGAGAGCTAAAATGAGAGTGAGGATTGCATTCATCAGGTAACATTACATTGGCGTAAAACATCAATGAATGCTAATGTTTTCTGCTTGATGTGTAGATATCAGTTTGCTAAAAGTTTGACCATAACAGCTTTAATGTGATTGTTAAATTGTTGTGCTAAATGATTAATTAATGCAAATTTAACTTTGTGTATCTAAACACTTTTAAACTTTACCTGTTGCAAAGCTAAAACTGCCATGTGGTCAAGCAGGTCAGATGAGGTAGATTGATGGAAACAGTGGCTAATGGTGCTTTTCCTGTAAAAGCAAATGGCAGTGTGCTTTGGACAACAGCCAGTCAACATAACCAAGATAAGAAAATCTCACCAGCTTGGTAATAAAAGCTTTGTGACTTTGTGCATGTGTGTGCCAGAGGGTTTGGTCATTTGAAGACTAAACCAACTGCCACTGTCACATGAAACTAATTTAAATCAAGTGACTTGAATAATTACTTTGTTATTCCTTTAATCAGGATTCATTTTTTTCAGCACATTATCAGCAGAGACGATTGGTTTTCAACTCTGATCAAGAAGAAGCTCTCATCAGAGCATTGATGTGTCACGGTGGCTTATGTGATTACTCTCAACATTACATTAGCACGTTCATGTGGGAGCTTAACAAAACAGCTTTAAATGCACTAATATATGGAAAGTGGATTCTGCCTAATGTGAAATATTAGTGGTTAGTCAGACAGTTAGTCCTGGCTACCCCTAAAGACCCCGGAAGACACACACACACACACACACACACACACACACACACACACACACACACACACACATACCTGTGTTTGTATGAATCTAAATTCTGTCACATCTAACTAGTGTTCATGAAACTCTGTATGTGTTTATGTGTTACTGTATCTTGTGTGTATATGCAGCCTTGGGGGATGCTAATGAGTTCATCGTGCTCAGTGATCTGAGACTGATTGACTTTCTTTGTGTTTGCCAGTTTGATCCAGCTGCTCTTGTTTTTAATTGCGAGAAACAATAAGAGAATCCAATAATCTGTTAAGACTGAAGAAGTTAAACTCATCTGCACATGAGCTGTTTGTATGGACAGTTATGCATATGTATGTATTTATCACCATTCATGGTACTCATTAGGCGATGGCATTACAGCTTTAATTTTCTGCAGCGAACCCGATTGGACCTGACCTGACCTGCCTGGTTTGGGCCCAAAACTGCTGCCATAGGTCGGCTCGTTTTTTTGAGTGGAAATTCAGGTCGGGCTCGGACCCAAAATTGCTTCTGTGGTTTGGGCTCGGGTCTTGCCTGATTTTTTCAGATTAAAACTCTAGTGGGCATATTGGCTAAATTATTCTATCAAAAGAATGTTTTAGGTTAATCTAATGAATTAAATACCTTATATCTCAAGATACTTGATAGGTACATCTATTATTACCTGTCCTATTACCTGAATAACAGCCTATCTCTAATGTACAAGGATAGTTCAGGTTTTTTGAAGTGTTGTTTTATGAGGTACTTGTAATCAGTATGACATACAGTAGATGGCAGTTGGCAGCAACAAAACGTATTTTAGCAACCTACAAAATCGTTTAAAATAAGTGTATGCTATATTTACAATATTTTCACTGCTTTACCTCGATGTCAGACAGCCTTTTCCAACAGGAAACTGAAGCCGTTATATGTATCTGTTCTATCTCCAATGCCAGCAGACTAAACCAGATATAAACGCTTCAGTTTCCTGTCGTAAAAGGTTGTGTGACTTCAAGGTAAAGCAGTGAAAATATTCTAAATGTAGCATACACTGATATTCATTTTCATGCTTCCCACTTTGAAAAACCTGAACTATCCATTTAAAGGAGAGATACCATCGCATATATATGTCATAACATATATATCGTCTCAGGGTATACATCGTCACATTGCCCAGTAACCATCTGATGAATTTGTGGATTCCTCTCATGTATAATTGTGTGATTACATTTAATATAACTTATAAGATAGCTCTGATTTTCTTGCCAAGGGTGAGATGAGAGTCCACACTGTGGTTAAGTGTAAAGCTAGAGCTAAGAGGTGATTAGCTTTGTTTAGCAAAAAGGGGGAAACAGTTAGCTTGGCTCTCTCCACCTCCACCAACCAGCACCTCGGAAGCTCACTAACAAATATGCTGTATCTGGTTTGTTCAATCTGTACACAAACTAAAACATAAAACAATACTTTGTAGTTTACTGTATGTGCACGTATAAAACAAAGCAGATAAAACTTAAATGAGGGAGCTTCAGAAGTGTTGATTGGCACATTATTTAACCCTTGACAGAGACAGGCTAGCTGTTTGCCCCTGCCATTTGTGACCTATCTTCTTGCTGCAGAAATGCAATGGGCATGTGATGATTATATCCTTGCAAAAATGTCAGATGATGTTTTCAGTCTAAACAGCAGCATATGCTGAGCATAACGCTGTGGGTGCATGATATAATCCTTCACATAGGAGAGAGGAGCAAGATGGAAAAGAGAGATGACGGGAAAAGATTAGAGAGGAGTGTAAACATTAGTTCGGCTGCTGGGTTTGGGTCGAATGCTCCGTCTCGCTTTGTGTCCCCTTTCTTCTTCAGTCAGTTGTTTACCTCCCTTGCTTTGTCCTCTTCCTCTCTCTTTCTGTGTCTGGTTACCTCTCTCCTGACCTTCAGGAGCAGACAGGGAAGCAGACAGATGTACTCTGGGGGGTTAAACTACATATCCAGCTGCTTCTCTCCATCAGCCAGCTGAATAACAGCGTCACTTTACTGAGCTCCATGCTCACAGAGGAGGTTGTCTCATTTTGATTAGTTGACTCAAGTGTTACATACACAAGAAGGTCTGATGAAAACTCTTGATTATAGTACGTCATGCTTACTGTACACTGTAATGCTTGTGCACTTGGCAGATAATTTCATTGCACCTAGAGTGACCTTGCATCCCACTTCTCTCCTATTGACTCAGTGCATTAAATCGAAATATAAAGCATCAAATCTAAGCTTTATTTCCCACCTATAGAAAACAGCCATAAAAAATAGTGCACAGTGCTGACATCATGTATGATTAAAGTGTTAACCATCCTGGTAGCTCTACAATCTAAAGGTGCACACTGTTTTCACCAAATTCATTGTTATTCCATCTCTTTGTGCTATCTTCACAGTCAAACTCTACATAATAACGCAGAAACACTTGAAAACCTAATTCTGAATGCATTCAGTTCCTTTGCATTATCTACCCCTACTTACCCCACCATAACCCTCATTTCCCTTTGAAGCCTGCTGATCCTCTGTGACTCAGCGCCGGTGGTGGTACCAGTCGTAGCCGGAAAAACCCCAGTTAATCTGTGAGGGTCTGCTACAGACACGGAAGGAAGGAGGCCTTTTGTATTTGGTATTAAAACTCTGTACCAGATTGCAGTTTATGCTCTATTATTAGACATGAGCTGTTTATTTGCACAAGGACCAAAAGACACAAGCAAATAGAAATCAGGGTTCAGGACTTTGAACGTTCTTAATTAACCAGTTGTTGTAGAATGGTTTTGATAGCCACTGCAGCAAACTTGTCAAAAACAGAACCTACAGAACCAACATATCTGTAAAAGGTGACATTAGGGAGATTTGGCTTACATATCAGTGGTTAAATGGTTAGTTAAACCCTCTGATTCTGTTGTAGTAGCCACATCATTTCAAGGATATTATATCTCCTGGAACTATGTTACGATGATATTTCACAATTAAAATCAATGCCAACACAACCACCCATCCATCTCAGACCTACTTGCGCTGTTTTTTCCGTACCATGAGCTTTCCCGTACATTAACCAGGAGGCTTAAAGCCATATTCACTGATGCCATTAGGGGAAGAACAGGCTCAAAACTGAAAAATAGTCATATTATCACCTAAATAAGCTACTGATAACATGTTACCCATCCAGCAGACACAAAGCAACATTAGCATTCATTTGGAGGCATGTTTCTGGCCACCTGGTGAATGTACAGCCCATATTCTCTTTCCTTTTAGTTCTGTTCTATCTCTCCATCAACTCTCTGCTACAGGCTTCACTATGCTAACCAGCTAGTTGCTAACTTTCCCTGTCATTTTGTGCTGGGCAGGAAGTGTACATTACAGTAAAGTTGTTGGGTGTAAACCCAAAACAATACGCTACAAGATGCTAAAACAATCCTTAACATTCCAGATATATACATGATAATAATTGTTAATATACAGTATAAATGTGCAGCCTTAACCATAACCAAACCTTAAGGATTGTACAAGCTATGCACAGGTTTTGTAGGAATATTCATATTTTAGAAAAACTGGACGTTCAAAAAGCAAAATTGGTTTGGCCCATACACTCTGGCCAAATAAATAAATGATGGTCCACAGGTGGTCCAGGTCTGGTAGCCACATATGGCCCCTGACATAGCCATATCTCATCTAACTGTATGACCATAGCTGGCCCTATTGTGACAAGTTTCAACAGTCTTTTTTTGTTTGTTTTTGGCAATGGTGTTCAGGCCTAGTGTGTACTGGCTGAATTTCCTCATTAACTATTTGTCTACATATTACTCATGCAGCGCAGGCAGAGAGTGAGAGACAGTTGGCTAAGATATGTCATGGGCTGTGTGGCTACCAGACCTGGACCACCTGTGGACTGTAATTCCTAGCTGTATTTGGGCCAAATGTAAGTAGGCTGTGTGAGCCATCGCTGGGCCAGACCAATTTTGCTCTGTGGGTTAAAAGTAAGTTTGGGTTTTGGAGAATCGTCCAATATCAGCAGTCTGTCTGGCTATGGCGCTGGTTTTGAAACTCGAGCACAGTTTAATTTCCAAACTTCAACAACAAGCGAGGAAGAATGTTTTCACATTTGGGACCTGAACAAAATTAGGTAGTATATCTTTAAGGTTATGAACAGGTTCCCCATGGGTGAATGAGGAAAGAGGGGTTCTTACCCTGAGTGTGCCGTATGTTGAGCTGGTTGATCTGCTCAGTGAACTCATTTTCCTCGATGGTCTCAGTGCGAGGAACAGAAAGAGAGAAACGCCGTTTAAAGTTCTTCATCTTGTTCATGGTGCTGAGGAGCCGACTCTGGGAGAAAAGAGAGAGAGAGAGAGAGAGAGAGAGAGAGAGAGAGAGAGAGAGAGAGAGAGATTCACCAAGAAATATACAATAAATCCTCCGATCCATCAATGAATACAGCATCAACACATTCTAAGGCTTTTCCTGAAGGACATACAATATTTGTTACTATAGCAAAGCATTTAAAAAAATAGATTTGAACTGTTGTTATGATGTACAGAACATATAGTACAACATAAATCAAAGAAATTTAAGTGTAAACACTGCCTACATGACACGAGTTGCAGAGCGTGATGTGCAGCTGTGATGGATCTTTTTGTGCAGCTTGACCAAAGACAGTCTTCTGTGTCATCTGATAATGAGGCAGAAAGCAGCAGGAAAGCATCAGATCAATATACTCTCTCCCTCAGTAGGTTACATAACCACGGCCAGCCCTACTAGTTAGTTTCTTGCCTGCCTTTATTCCACTCAACCTTTTATTCTCTTCTTTTTCTCTGGTCTGTGTGCTGCAGAGACTGGTGTCATGGGGTCTCCTGTACCGACGTGCATGTGTCTGTGTGTGTGTGTGTGTGTGTGTGTGTGTGTGTGTGTGTGTGTGTGTGTGTGTGTGTGTGTGTGTGTGTGTGTGTTTTGGCTCATTATTATAAAAGGCTAAGAGATGTGGATGGTGGGTTCAATTACAGCAAGGCTCGGCATTGCCTACTGTTATTTTTAAGCCTCAATAACCCATCAGGATATTGCTGTCTCTGAGCAATCAGGGTGTTGTCAGATTATACTTACTGCTGCAATGTCTGCACAGTGCAGGTCAGAGGGCTGCCTGAATCCAGACACCATAATACGACTAATAAGTAATCCAACGGTTGAGTAATTAAAATATATATAAGGCTTTCTAACATCCGCATCATGAGCTGTGCATGCACATGGGCTGTAGCACAACTCAAAATGACGATAGTTATTTAATATATATATTATTTGTATAACCTTAAACTGCAGGAATCACAAAAGCAATAGTATGTTTAAATAATATCTAAATGCATCTGTTGCACAAAGCTGTTTAGGTCTGATTATTTTAAGGAAGACTACTTTGCAATGAATTCTGGTTACATTTGGGGCTTTTTTCAAACCGTAAAAAAAGGGAAACCAAGCCCCCAGGAAGAGCACCTGGCTTTGAAACCTTTTTGGCCAAACCAGCATGACAGAATCAGAATCTGATCATTTGGTCCAATAACATAGTGGTTCAACCTTTTTAGTGTCAAGGCCCCCCACATCAATATACATCAGGCTGGGGCCCTGTATTTGATAAGATTTAGTCTCAGGGAACCATCTGATAAGATTTAGTTATTCCATAACTCTCTGTACTGATTGGCAGAATAACAATAAAGAGTGTGGAACCAAGTAGTTGTTCTTATATGTTCTCTCACTGAGCTAGCTACGAGTCAATGAGATAATAGTGAAATTCAAATATTCCCCACTTTTCTGGGGACCCCTGGAACCTCAGCAACCCCAGTTTTAGAACCTCTGCAATAATGTTTGGAAAGTCAAGAACAGCCATACAAAGTCTCTTGCTCTATGGGCGTGCCATTCAGAAGTATGAAGATCCGGGTAATTGGACGAACATTTTTCATGCACCACTAAGCCACTATAATAGGAATGAACGGAATGAACTGGCCTCCAACGCTGTGTCCACTTCTCCCTTAATACATTCATGGTCATGCCACTCAGCTTGCTTTACAATCTATCAGAAAATGTTTGCCTTCCTAAGAATTCAACAATTACAAGGATATTTTACTGGGAGAATTCAACAGACTGCAACAATGTAAAAAAGAAAAAATTCAATAGTAAACAGTAAATAGTACTAATCCCACAGTTGACAGGAGCATCAAAGACTCCCTCCTTGGGCAAACAAAATGATTGACAATGTCCTCACTGCTGTACTGTATAAAGAGTTACTGAAAAAAAAACTTCAAACTGCTCGCTTCACAACATTATTATCAAGCAATAAATAATCAGCCACATTTTCCTCTTTTGTGTCATTTGGTGCCACTGGTCAGGAGGTGTCTCTGATTGTTACCATGGAAACATGATTCTTAGCTCAGAGGGTAGGGCGGCAAGACTTTTCAAGCTTACAAAATATACAAATATCTTTCTGAAACCGGCCACAGGCCAGAGCCCTGGATTTTAATGTGGTTTTATGAGAAAGCCTGTTTAAAAGTAAGAGCTTACACTGTAACTGCATGATTAGAACTATTTTAATGAACAGTGCAAATGTTTGTCAGACTCTGATCAATACATTAGTGATCACTGTCATCCTTGTATTAGTTCAGAGGAAAATCATTACAAATTACGAGTTTGATATGAGTTCATTGCCTTGATTGCATTCTTGATGATGTTTCGCACTAATGTAAGACATCTGGTAGATATTAAACAGGCATTAATGAGTAACTAAACCCCCAAACCTTTTTTTCAGCTGAAAACCTCTGCATATGGATATTGATTAGTGTTGCTGATTGTTTCATTGATTGATTGAGTCCAAATCTGGACAGTTTAGTGCAAAGTATTGAATTCTACATATTTTGCTAGAAAATGTAAAACAGTCTTCTTCTACTGGTTGAAACCCAGCTATTGCAATAGAATTTTGTTATTGGCTGATCTGGAGGCAGGTGACAATAATAATCAACCAACCCCTGCTTCCATAAAACCAACGTCACAACTCTGCAGAATGTGACCCGCTACGTAGCTGAAGCCTGGCGCTCTAGTCCCTCTGAGCCGCTAGCTTAGCTAACGTTACAGCACAGGTATAACACAGAAGCTTTTACAACAGGTGTAAATGTTCTTCTAGTGACTGTCAAAGTTCCAGCAGACTCTGTGTTTCCAGCGTGCACATGAAGAGTCTGACAGCAGCTGCTCATGGCTGGTGTTACCTCCTGCGTCACACACTATATAGCCTCATGGCCACTCCCCCTATTTGATTCTCTCAGATTTTTTTTATTTGTTGCTTTATTCATAAATACTGAGAATGACCATATTTGAGCTTTCATGACATGGTAGCTGCAAGCACGATTTTTTCAAATAAAGGCTCAACCTTTCTCCCTGTAATTATTTTTCATTTCTGTATATGCTACAGCATTTGGCTGTCCCTCTGATCACACAAAAGAAGTGAGTGAATAGCATGGGTTGCAGTCACAGAGAGATTCAAACATGGGCTCTGACAAAGTCTGGATGAAAGGTTTACTAAATTATTGTTTTCATGGCCTTGGTCAACTCTGAAGTTGGAAATAATTAAAGCTATTTGCTTTCCAGCAACCTCAGCACAGCCAGTCAGCTCAGGTTTACTTGACAAATGCTGTGTAGCATTATTTTTCACCTAAACAACTTGCACTGTCCTGGTGTCACACCACTGATCAACAGGTGGCGATATAACAGGTTAAGTTATGCTGTAGTCCACCAGCAAAGGCTGGGAAAAACTGTTTTATTTATTAACTTATCTACTGTGTAAAGGTATGGGGAAACACTAATCCAGTTTTTATGTTACAGAGGAGAGCTGTAAGAACTGTAAATTGATCTGATTATTATGAACCAACCAACCAACCAACTTTTTACTAATTTACATGCTTTCAAATTTTGTGATCTAGTTTATTTTAAATATAATGTACAAAGCACAAAATAATTTACATCCTAACTGTACTCAGAGGTTGTTTGAAATGAGAGAGAGCCAATATGAACTCAGGGGAAAGGGTGAAGACAATTAACCCTAAAAGATAGATACTTTGTGATATAATTTGGATAAGGAATTAAGAATGTGTTCACTTTTCAAAAAAAACAACCAAAACAAATATAAAAGTAAGGTATGATCATTATTGTGTTTGAAACGTTTGGAGTTCCTGTTTCTGTTTTGTTTTTCTATAGCTTTAACCTAGTATGACAGGGTTGCCTATTAGACTGTCATATGTAAAGAGGGAAGCTATAATAAGCTAAAGCTCCAGCCTACACCTTTCCGGTCAACAGTTTCTTCTTTTTCCCATTTTAATCTAAAAATAATTGTTTTCTATTCATTTCTATGTGTACTCATTGTGGACAATTGTTCATATGGACCAAAACTAATTACTACTACTACTAAAATGACATGTACAGATAATTAAAAATGTTTTACATAGATATAAATCCCTGCCCTCTGCTGAAAGGTGCTATTTTAATTGTGAAATCAGATTCAGACATCAAACTAATTATGTCCTATATAAAGTATATGTTTACATACAGTATATAAGGTGCAAGATACGCGAGGCTTTGGAGTTTAGATAAAATAATGAGAGCGTTCTCAGAACCAGAGTGTGGGCGGCAGCCATAAATTGAACAGCCAGTGGAGAAGAGGAAGCAGCTCAAAAGGCGACGGTTAAAGCAGATCAGTGCAGAGAAAAGGAGGATTTCTAATTCAGAAAAGGAGAGCCCTTTAGAAATCAATCAAATTCAGCTCATGTGACCCTTTGATGTAGAGGGAAAGACCCTCTTGGTAGCACAAAAGAGCAAAGTAACTGCCACAGCGCTGGTACAAGCAGGAATGCCAGTCTTTTTTCTGTGGTGTTCATGACACACAATCATGTTCAATAAGCAGCTGAAGCAGCAACAAAGACCTCAGCCTTATATTTCTAGAGCTGGAAAATGCTTCTGGCTCAGTCACACGCTATTTCATCCATCACAACATTAACATCTATTTCAAATGTACAGATATCTCAGCAGAATCATTCTTGCTCACTATAAGTACTCTGATGGTCACACTATGCAGCCATAAAATTGGCTACAATGAACATAAAAACCCGACAATCAATAGGCATTTATTATTAACTGCCAGATAAAATACACAAGCTCACAGAAGCATATGAGTTAAGGGAAATTAAATAATAAAAAGCGATCAGATACAAAGCAGATTAAAGGGTTAAGAATGGAGGAGGAGAGAGGCTTACTCTGCAGAGAGAAATCAATACCCCTAGGCTGGCTAAAGTCCTGGTGTGTTG